ATAAATAAAAAAGTAAAATTTAAAAAAAATAAAATAAAATACCAGGAAAGTTCAGTATTCTGTGCCTTGGTTTTGACTTGCGCTCCTGTTACTTGCTGAGCATTTTTCCCCCTGAGAGGTAATGCTAGAAAAAGATATTAAATTATTTTAAGTGGTTTGGTTGGCTTCAAGTATTTATTACCCATTTGTTAAAGTTTCTTTATTCCATCTTATAATTTAATATAAGTTCAAAGGAATCAGCTAAATTGAGGGGCAGCATTTGATTTTAAGATAAATAAAATACAGGGTGTCCCAAAAAATGTATAGACACACTTTGAATAATTATAAAGGCAGTGTTTATTAAAATACATTTCATTTTCAAAATTGAGCTATTAGCTTTAAAGTATGTATACATTTTTTGGGACACCCTGTATTTTCTTCTCTATAAATCAGGAGTTTCTTACAGATTAATAATTTTTAGGAATAAAAAAATTGAAAGCACTTTTGCATGCATTTTTGGTTCCACCTGAGTATTTAGTTCCAAAACTGCACAAAGGTAAAATGAACTGAAATTGAGAATGAATACTGCCTGAGTGCGTAAAACCATTTCGAGACGAGATGTTCATGTTCCATTATGCCTGCGGTAACATAAAGGAATCATTTTTCCATAGCACTCCTTGTGTTCCTCTTTCTCCTCTGATTCGTACCTTTTTCTCCTGCAGGATTATGGAATGTGGGAACGTGGCGACAAGACCAACCAGGGCATTCCAGAATTGAATGCAAGCTCTGTAGGAATGGCCAAGGTAACAGCACATCCTCTTTGTTTTTCCTTCTGTGCGTTTTTACTGCTTTGACTTGGTTCTCATTAGAAGTTTGGATTTAATCTAGTTAGTATATTTTTCAAAAGTCAACAGCAAGTATGAAATTGAAGGGGTGCATGCACCCCAGCCAACTGAAATTCTAGGTAAAGAATGTAGGTTTCCTACACTGAAATTTGAATGTGCTTGAAAATCAGTGCACTCCGTCCTCATTGTCCATTGTTATCATCCATGGGTCTAAGCTCTTGCTGTTGTTCAGGAAGCTGGGTGTAGACATCCAGTCTTCTATTCTGGGTCATAAAGAAGGCTGAAGAACATGACCGCTTTGTAGGGCAGGGCTCATAAGTTCAAAAGCCTATAGGATCAGGCAAGTAACATTTATTTATTTTTTAAATATGTCTTTATTGATTTCAGAGAGAGGAAGAGAGAGGGAGAGAGATAGAAACATTATGATGAGAGTCACTGATCAGCTGCCTCCTGCACGCCCCCTACTGGGGATCAAGCCTGCAACCCGGGCATGTGCCCTGACCAGGAATTGAATCTCGATATCCTGTATCATAGGTTTATGCTCAACCACTGAGCCACACTGCCGGGTGGCAAGTAACATTTAAACAAGTGAAGTTGGCCAGATAAGAAAATATTGAGGAGTATTGGGGATATTGGGAACATTCTCTAAAGGTATTCCAATTCAAAATCATTTCTAAAACTTCTTTAGGCCAAACAAAACAGGCCTTTGGGGCAGATTCAGTCTATAGGCCACCAGTTTACATCTATTGCCCTAGACATTTAGCATGCCTCCCTCTCTTCCTCCTCAATACCAAAGTGTGCTTTTGGACAGCATAAAGACTCCAGAGCTAGAATTATTAAAGCAACAATAAATATGCTGTTAAGAGAACAGATTGATGATTGCCAGAAGGGAAGGCTGTTGGGGGACTGGGTGAAAAAGGTGAAGGGATTGAGAAGTACAGATTGGTAGTTACAAAATAGTCACAGAGACGTAAAGTGGAGCATAGGGAATATAGTGAGTAATATTACAATAACTATGTATGGTGCCAGGTGGGTACTGGAAATGTCAAGGGAACACTTTGTAAGGTATATGATTATCTAACCACTATGCTGTATACCTGAAACTAATATGAAATAATATTGAATGTAAACTGCAATTAAATTTTTTAATAATAAAGAAAAATAAATAAATAAAAACTATGTTCTGTTAAGGTCAACTGACAGGCAACATACTTAATACTAAAGGAATTAACTTTCTTAAGTGCCAAATATGCTAATGTTAGGAGTTAACCACTAAAATAGATGAAAGAAAAGCCGACCATGAATTTAGTGACCCCTGCACACACACATACACACACATTATTAACTTGTTAATATTTAATTTTTGGTAGAATAAATTCATTTTGGGAAATATTTTTCTATTTTCTCCTGCTTGTTCCTGCAATGAGCTGCAACATTCAGGAAAGCTCTGACTACTGAAAATAAGGATAGACCATGACCACAGGACTCTTTAGCTGATTTTAAAGATGTGTTTCATCACCTTTGGGAAAACATGTATGCTAGACTACTTAATGAAAAAGGAGTATCACGTATGGGAGTTCACTAGAAAGGAAAAGTAATTAAGACTTGTGTTTGTAGGCAGCACTTGAAGCAATTGATGAACTGGATCTTTTTGGAGCCCATGGAGGACGCAAGTCAGTGATCCATGTCCTGCCCGATGAGGTTGAACACTGCCAGGTAACAGCTCAGCGTCCCACGTGCCAGAGAGCTGGGGAGACTTGTGAAGGGAAGACCCCAGCTCCAGTTTTCCTCACCTTTGTAGCTTGGTGGTACTTGGCTTCTTTGAGCTTTAGTTCCCTCATCCATACAGTGGGCATATTGGGCCCTTCCCCTTCTGCTGCACACGGTGGTCCTAAGGGTGAGTAAAATCAACTTAATTTGTCAGAGCACTTCGTAAGCTAGAAAATACCATGCAAACATAAGACTCAACAATGTTATATATATGGAGTCAGCAATCAAGACACCTTGTTTTGCTCAAATAAAATAAAATCTGTTCTTTTTGTTTTGAGCACATAGGCAGTTTTCTCTCAGGTTTATTTCACGATGCCCCCAAATTGAATGGCTAGCAAGCACTAGTTCACCTGGAGAGGGGAGAGGGGATAAGCAGAATGGGTAATGGTGTAGAGATGAATGATAGAAATGGCAAATTAGTAGACCCTTCATGAAATACAAATGAGAGAAGGGAGTGATTTTGATGCGATTAGGGAACTCCATTAAGTGGATAGTAGGTAACCAACCAAAGGCTTATTTAGTGAGGGCCCTAGTACACAGTGCTAGGGCTATGGGAGTCAGATACATAAAAACTTGTAAGCAGAGAGCTTCTAGTGGAAGTGTATGCTTCTGGACAGAAAGAGCCTAGTAAAGAGTAACTAGCTAAAGAACTAGGCTTGGTGTGCAGGGAGAGGTCAGTTGGATATAGAACATGAAGTTTTATTCTGAAGCTGAAGGGCCCCCCATTTTTATCTCACTCTCCAGCTCATTCCATTTTCCCCCATTAAACATTTATTAGTGGGGAATCTGCGATTTCTTGGGGTGTGGTTTAATAGAGTCAAGCTGGTGTGCATCTCAATAGATGTGTAGTCTAATGGAAATTATGTGAGCTTTGTAGCCAGCTGGGCCTGGGTGCGTATCCTAGATCTGTCGCATACTAGCTGCATTCCTTTAGGCCGAGTCTTTCTACTCAGAGTCTTAGAGTCTTCATATGTGAATTGGATATAGTACCTGAATTCCTTCTTCATATGGGAGATTTAATAAGCTTATGTTTGCAGGGGTCTAGCCCCATGTCTGTATATGTTAAATCTCAGGATTAGCTCCTTCCCTTCCCAAGCTTTTCCTTATAATCTCAACTTCCTTTAGTTTACAGTGCCTAATCCAACCGCCTTATAATTGAGGCGATATTATAGTGTACTAAGTAACCCATTCTCTCTGGAACTAAACTAATTCTACTGTTTACCATTTTACCTGAGCATTCTTGTGGTCTTCTGGATTTGACTTTTTCTTTAAGTGGTTTCTCAGTTACCCAGTCCAACTGGCCACACTCCATAGAAGCCAGATATTTCTCTGTACTGGCTCTATATGTGTATTCTTCTCTGTCTTTCTTCACCATCAGGACATCCCAGCCTGCTGACACAGGTAGCCCTTAGTTCCTCCCCTGCATGTCCCGAAGGCCTAGCAAAGTCAACAGAAGGCATGGAGGAAGGGAGACAAGCAGTTCTCAGCACTGGCTCTAGGCAGTACCACGTTCTCCCTGACCCCTTATTCTCCCCCAAGGAACAGGGATCATTGGCTAGGTGGGCAAGTTCTCCCATCCGGGGTCATGTTGGTAGGACAAAGCTCTAACTATTCAGATGTTTCTTTGGGGCTGAGGTTATGATCTCTAGATACTGTATGTAACTATTCGTGCTTCCCAGGGTAAAGCCACCTCTATTTTTCATTCAGTCTATTCTGTTCTCCATGCTGCCAAGAGCATCGACATCTAAAGAGATTGACGCTGGACTTCTTTCTATTATTTCTTTCCCGGCCTTTGCAGTGGAAGATATGAACCTTGTGAATGTGACCAAAAATGAAATTATTTCCAAGCTCCAGGTAAGCACTGATCACGCTGGTTAAGTGCTCTGTGTTAAGTGCCATTTTCACACTGTGACTTGCAGCAGCCTTGGTTCTCCATGGAGTCAATGGCTTGATTTATCTAAGCGGGTTCATAGAGTAAGGTATCCAAAGCTGAGTCTACAGGTGACAAAACTAAGTCTCTTAGTGATCAACTAACTTGGTTGTCTTCCTAAGTAACAGAGCTTGAACTCAGGCCATCATCCTTGAACCCCAATTCATACCACTCCTGTACTTCTAAGGCAGAGCTTCTTAAGTCTTTACAGATCACAGGCTCCTTTGAAAATGTATTAAAAGCTAGAGTCCCTGCCAGAAAAAAAATGCACATGTTTCAATATCCTCAGACTTTACACACAATATTAGGAGACTTGGTGATCCCAAAGTTAAATTGAATTTAAAAAAAAAAAAATCCCTGCTCTGAGTAACTATGTAACTGTGACACATTATATCCAAGTGAGAATGTTATTAAATATTCCAGCCAACTGAAGTTATCAGTAAAATTATCAAAGAATATGTTTCCTAAGCCAAAATCCACATGTTTATGATCTTACTTAGATCCAGTGAAAAATGCTTTTAGCCCTTGGAAACAAGAGGTTAAAGGGTCTCCAATCATATCCCCGAAAGAAGGTGGCTGTCTCAGTCAGGGTTCAGTGGAGGAAAAGGAGCCTCTTTAGGTAGTTGAAGCAGGCAGAGAATTAATGCAGGGAATGAAGTGTTTCTAGGGTAGCAGATTTGAGACTGGACCTCCCCAGGACTCCCAGAACCATCCCGGGGCTGGCCGCTAGGGGTGTGCTTGTCTCCACAGCCTGCGCTAGAGCAGCCCACACACACTTAAACTGGGAAATGGTCACCCAAAGCTGCTATCCAGGGACTAGGAAGGTAGATGAAGAGAGCAGTGCTACTGTCATTCTTTCCTGACACCCAGCTGGACAGGAACACTGGAGCCTGCAGCAGGAAACCCGCAGTAACAGCCCTAAGCCGCAGGATGCCCCACCTGCCTCCCTGTCAAACTTGCAGGATGCAGGCTCCTTTGCATCCAGAGCCTAACTGCAAGGAGTCTGGAATGTCCTTGTAGCTTTCCAGTCTTTCAACTAGAGGCAGTCCCATCCAAGTATCTGAATGGTGACTTCTCCAAGCAGTGAGGGGCCCTTGGCATCTTTGCATAATGTGGCAAATCAGAATGGAAGGCTGGTCATTCACTGAACTCTCAGTAATTACTCACACCTCTGACAGTCTAATGTAAGGTTCTGGCATTTCCTTCCAAACACTCATCAAACTTGAATTTACTTTGCTCAGGACTTAAAACTAACTTTTTGTACTGATAGCAAAGAGCACTTGGTACACATTTCATTACTAAAAAATTCATGAGAAAGGGAACAAAGAGTTGACTGGAAATTAAAATCAAAAGGCAAAGAAAATTTTCTGATTTTCTCAAATGTACTTATTTTTGTTTATCTTCTTAGGGGCGTTATGGATGCTGTCGCTTCCTTCGAGATGGTTATAAAACCCCAAGAGAGGTTGTATTTAAATAACGTTTCTTATGATTCTGTAACTGCTTCATATCTAAGTTGCCACTGTGGTGTTCTCCCTCTATTGATTATAATTGCATGTTAGAATGTTGGAAAGGGAAGTCTTAATTTTGGAGTCAGCAAGCCTGGGGCTAGACAATAGAATAGTAAGATCATCCGGAGGACAGCAAGCTGGTGGTTTAAAACCATCTTGTAGACAAGGACAAACAGTTCTGTGACTCACATGGTTTTTAAAATACCAACCGTGGCTGCCTCCTTGGGTTTCTTTGCCATAGTGACTGATATAATATCAATAAAACAGTCTGCCAAGCACTGTGAGAGACAAATTGCTATTTGTTAGAGATATAGGAAGCTTGATATAATAAATTGCCAAGGAGTGTTGTGTATATTTCTGATTTACTTTTCTGAAATTTTACCATGAAAAACTGCCCAAAATATCATCTCCCCATTACAGCAGAATCCTAATCCTCAAAGCTGTGTTGAAATAGACAAGCGAGGGAAACCCAGTGAGGTACAATGGTATTATGTATATAATCTGAAATCACCTTTTAGAAGGTTTACCTATTTGATTCCAGGACCCAAACCGATTGCATTATGACCCTGCTGAACTCAAGCTCTTTGAAAACATTGAATGTGAATGGCCTGTGTTCTGGACGTATTTCATAATTGATGGCGTCTTCAACGGTGACGCTGTTCAGGTGAGAAAATGCTGGGTGTTGTGTTGATAATCAGCATTTTTATTCCACTGGTGTACTGGTTGTTATTAGAACATAAGGTTATGCAAGAATTTAGGGCACCGTTTCAATGATCTCTTGCCACTTAACAAACTTTCCCAAAATTTAGTGAATTAAAACAATAACTATTTTATTTATTTGCTTGTGATTCTGCAGTTTGAGCAGGGCTCAGCGGGGACAGGTCATCTTTGCTTCACCTGATGTCAGGGGCTGGAGGATCTCCTCCTGAGATGGCTTCTCTCGAATGGCTGGCAGCTTGATGCTGCCTGTTGGCTGGGAGCTCAGCTGGGCTGTTGGCCTGGACCTTGGTCCTTCTCTGGGTGGCTAGTTTGCGCTTCTCACAGCACTGTGGTCTCTGGGGAGCTAGGCCTTTCACATGGTGGCGATTGTCTTCCACCAGAAAGCAAAAGCAGAAGCTGCCAAGCTTTCTGAAGGCTCAGGCCTAGAACTGGCAAAGTGTCACTTCTGTTGCATTCTGCTGTCTAAAGGGCCATCTCACATTTAAAGGGAGGGGACTACGCAAACACCTGAGTACTAGGAGGTGGGGTTCATCAGGGAGCACCAAATAGTCCACCACAGGTAGGTTTTGTTTTGGGGGCTGCAAGCTTGAAATGTTACTGTTTCCCTGTTGTTTATTCTTACTTTTATGCTTCAGTGATTATCTTGGGTCTTAAGTGTTCTGTCTTTTTATCCCAGAACCGAAAGATCTCAAAAGGACTGAGTTGGAATTTCAATTGTGAATAAGCTTGACAGTGATCAGAAACAAACAAACAAAAAACCTAAGGAGACAAAAAAGACTGTGCTTATACTTTATTTTCTAGGTCTCACAGAATTTACTACCCTTACACCTATGCTATCTCTTCTACTTGCTGCCCAATGACATTTTAAAAAATGAGATACTCCTGGTCATGCTTTGCTGTCCATAAATTTCAAAGAGAAGAAAATGAGACCTGGAAAGCATTTGACTGGGCTCTCCAAAGATGAAATGTGTTAAATAGCTGAGTAGCTGGTTAAGGCTTTTTTTCCTCTTTCTTCTTTTCCCTTTTAATACATAGGTTTTTATCAGTGCCTTTTTAATTTAATGGAAATGTTTACATCGACAGCTTTCATTATACTGAGTAGTACATCCTAAGAATAGGGGTACATAGATCATAGTACCTACACTTTCTTTTCCTCACATCAGATCCGTTCAGCAAATGTTTCTTGAGCAGTAAATATTTGAATGAAGGCCTTTTAGTGGAAAACTACTGATAGGTAGAAATGGGATATACTACTTAAGATCTGGCCTGCACTCCAGTAAGCTTATAGTCTAGCTGGTGAGACTAAATTAATTAATTAATTTATTTATTTATTTTTAGAGCAGGAGGAAGGGGGAGAGATAGAGAGAGAGAAAAAAAATCTATGTGAGAGAGATCCATCGATCTGTTGCTTCCTGTATGTGCCCCAACCAGGGATCGAATCCACAACCTAGGTATGTGCTCTGACCAGGAATCGAACCTATGACCTCCCGGTGCATGGGACGATGCTCCAACCAACTGAGCCACACCAACTAGGGTGAGACAAAATTTAAATATGTGAGAAGTTAAGAATGAAATATTTAACTTGTGGGTTAAAGACCACACAGAAGAGACCAGTTATGTTTAGCTCCTCCTAACACTTGCTGTCCACAAGAGTCCCAGTTCCTCCTGCACTCCTTGAGCTGAAGGTATTTGTGTGTTTCTTGGCCCTGTGTTCTACTCCTAATCTGTTTGTTGCCAAGATAGCTGTTTTTCTGTGTTGCACTGCTGTTACAGCATCCCATGGGGGATGGGACTGTTTTCCAGGTCCAAGAATACAGAGAGGCCCTGGAGGGAATATTAATCAGGGGCAAGAACGGGATACACCTGGTGCCAGAACTCTACGCCATCCCGCCTAACAAGGTAACCAGGCACTGCTTATCCAGAACAAAGTGACGTGGTGCTTGGCCTTTTCATATTTCCCATCCCCTTTCTATAACTTACACTTTTTCTCCAGGAGAAGTGGTTTGTAAAGCCTTCAGTAGTGTTCCTGTCTATCACAGGAGTTACGGCTTTGGAGCCATGCTTGGAAAGAGCTGCCCAAGTGAGGTATCAGTGGAGGACCTTCAGAGGCTACCTGTCCCTCACCTGAGTCCAAGGCCAAATGAGCCCCCGAATGCACAAAACACTGTTGGACACCATGCTCCCACACACATCCACAGAAGAAGACACCAGACAGAATCTCCCAGAGGAAAGGGGGGAGATGTTTAGAGATAACTGAGAATCTCTTCCTTTGAATCAAGCCATTCCAGAGCTTGAGCTCGAGTAATCACTTAGAAGACATTCTATATCAGGGAGAGAGAAATTGGCCAATTCCAAGAAGATGCCTAAAGAGTTTTTTACCTATCCAGTTTCCTATATTGGGCCATGATGGACCTATATATATCTTGGTGGGAAGATTTCCCTATATGGGTCTCATGTTTAGAAGAAAAGAATTCTCGATTCAAGACTGTTTGTCCTTCAGATGGTCCTATTGCTTCAAACCTTCTTTATTGCATTTGCAGGAAGTAGAGACTTCAGGGAGCAGCATCTTCCCCCTAATTGACAGGGCCTACAGGAGACCGTAATCCAGCAGAGGTTGTCATGCCACAGCTTGGGTTTAGGGGTTCTGTGGTTGAATCAGGCCCACAAGCAAATGGTCAGGGGACTGGCAGGGCCTCTGAAATTGTGTGCCTCCACCCAGAGAGGCTGTGGGACCTGTTAGGGCTTAGATAGTACTGGGCTTCTCCTGGGACCAGACCCCAGGGCCAGGGCCTCCCCACAACTCCACGCTGCCTCCTGATGTGTGGTACATTTCCAGGTGATGGAGAGTCCCTCACTATACAGATCAGGCCATGGAGCTACAAGGGCTCTTTTCTCTCTAAGTGTCAGACACCTAGGTATCCTGCAAATGTATTCATTTTACTATGTGTGATATGTGTGTGCTGGTGGGGAGGGGCTGATCTTGGGGGCTGGGTAGTTATTTCCCAGCAACTACATATTCAGGTTGCCCCCTTTCCAGTACTGAGGCATTTAGCAGAACAAAATTAGTAATGGGAGGTCACTTTGAACCTGGAAGCAGAGCAAGTGGAAATAAATGACTTCAGGGGTATTTTATCTGGTTTATGGTAGAGAATAACCATCCATCTGTGTTCTATTAAAAGGTACATTTTCCTGACTGTAGTAAATGCTGGGTATTATAATTTATATTTTTCTTTCTGATGGACAGTACTGGCTACACATTGTAAAAAATTACTCTGCAACTTTTTTCTAAACTTTACACTGACCTTTAAGCGAGACACCTATTTTGAACACCATTTTATGTTGACCACAGTTTGTCTTGGCTGCTTCCAGAGGACACCTGGGAAGGTTCACCCATCATATCAGTGACATGTAGAAACCGCTGCAGACAGGGCCACCCAGACCCATATGCCACCTTTGTGCAAATTATAAAATAGGACCTCATCCTTGGAGTGGCCGCAGCCCTAGGCCAAGGCGACAACCAGCCTGGATTTCAGCCTCACTCATTTCCTTAGCCAGACATGCTGTGCAGAGTGCCACCATCCATTGGACAGCTTGAGACTAATGCAGGTTTGCCCAGCAGATGTGTATCAAGCAGCTGCTCCGGGCCAGGCACCAGGCTAGGTCCTGGGGTACAAAACGGTTGCAACACTAGCCCTGCCTCTGCAGGCTTGCAGGCTAGTGAGTGTCGGAGGAGCTAGTCCCGGGATGGAGGGCAGACACAGGAGTGGGGGTGGCAAAGGTCTGCAAGTAGATCAGAAGGATTGGGGTGGAGAAGGGGGACAGGTGCGGCCACAGGGAGGCAGGAGCTGGCGTGTGGGTGGCAAGAGGGCAGAGCCAGGTGTCTTGTGATCTGGACACCTTGTCTGCCTGCTGTTCTTTGCATGGACTGTTTCTCATTCTAGATCTTTGCAGTCTTTCTGAACACTACTTAACATTTCAATAACTTTAATATACAGTGTGGTTGTAAAAGTAACCCTGCACACTGCAAAACGTCCAGGATTCTGTCAAAAGATGTAAATATCTCTAATCTTACTCCCCAAAGATAACCACTCTGACATTTTGGAGGATCTCCTTCCACACTATTATCCTACTTGATTATTTGATTACTGGCGATGTCTAATTCTGTTTAGTTTATGAGCTTAAGGTTTTCTTAATATTTACTACAGCAGATTTTAAAAGTTTTACTAAGTATGTTAATAACACCACTGATTAACCCACAAAGAATGAGTGCCCTCGCAGTGCGATTTTCCCCTTTGGAGAAGGATAAGTGTTTCCTACTTCCTTTGCTTGGCTGATGTTTTCTGGGGGGAAAAAGTGGTCACTGACATTACCTCCAACCAATGTGGTAATGAATAAAAGCCCAAAGGTCAGCATGGATTTTACAACAGAGAAAGTTGTAGGCTAATTTTTACAGTGCGTAGCCAGCACTTTCCATCAGAAAGAGAACTGTAGCTTATTTAGATACATCAGAAGCCCCCAATGGATTCAGCTTTTTGAATCCCAGAAGGAAAATTCATGATCTAATAGTACAATTATTTTTTTCTCAATAAACAGTGCCACCTTCTGGTAATTTCCTTGTGTGAGCACACAGAGTTTATGAACCCCTGGGGATGGCAAGATAGGAGAAGCCTGACTTAGCATCCAGTGGTGCACTCCCAGGGCAGAAGCTGATATTTTAGATCGCCGTGCCCGTAACACTGCCAGATGCAAGCGTGAGCCGTGATGCTTCCTATCGCCTGGAGCCTTCCAGTGCCTGTCTCTGCTTTTTACCATCAGTGTGCCTGTGGGAAGAGCACTGGCCTGGAACCAGGCCTAGATTTGAGTTCTGCCTCTGCTGCTTTTATTGTGACCCCGCTACCACCCACTCAAGGGTTCAGCCTCCTCAGCGCCCCAGTTCCAGCTCTCACGTGGAACTGGCCTGGAGGAGTGAATGAGTAGCATTTTGAAAATCCTCAGCGTGCTCCCCAGTGGACAGTGGCATTGGCCTTTTGATCCTCTGACATGCTGACTTTAGGATTTTCTCTCTTTGCCAGGTGGACGAAGAGTATAAAAATCCTCACACGGTGGACAGAGTTCCTCTGGGGAAGCTGCCCCATCTGTGGGGTCAGTCCTTGTACATCCTCAGCTCACTCTTGGCAGAGGTAGGGGGCTTGGGGGCTCCACGGTGGGAAACTAGAAGAGCACAGGGGCTCTCTGCCCGGTGTGGCTGTGTCTCTGGCATCTTCATTGCTTTAAAGTCAGTTGCTCTGGAACTATCTGTTACCATTGTTCTTTTTACTTACACAAGATGATGGCCTATTTGACTAGCCCTGGAGGTGCTGAAAATGTAATACTTTTGTCGGTGGCTCTCTCAGTGGTTTACTGTGTTTCAGAGAAAATAAGCAGTGGACTTGAAATATCTAAAGGAGTAAATAATGTTTTGAGCCCCCAAATATTTTATTTTCAAATTTAGGTGAAATTTTAGTTAATCAGTATTTCATAGTGTTAATGCTCCTTTTTTCCTAGGGATTCCTTGCCACTGGGGAAATTGACCCCTTAAATAGAAGATTTTCCACTTCTGTCAAACCTGATGTCGTAGTACAAGGTTTGTGAGTGTGTTTACTATTTTTATTTAACTTTGTAAAAGCCATGTACTTTTTGCTTGAATTTTTTAATTGAATTTATTGGGGTAACATTGGTTAATAAAATTATATAGGTGTACAATTCTATAATACATCTCCTGTATATTGTATTGTGTGTTCACCATCCCAAGTCAAGTCTCCTTCCATCACCATTTATCTTCCTTTAACCTATTCCACCTCCCCCCACTCCCCTTTTCCTCTGGTAATCACCATACTATTGTTTGTGTCTATGAGGGTTTTTTTTCTTGATCTTTTCACCTTTTTCACCCAGCCCCCCAACTCCCCTCCCCTCTTACAGCTGTCAGCCTGTTCTCTTTATCTACGAGTCTGTCTCTATATTGCATGTTAGTTTATTTTGTTCATTAGATTCCATATGTGAGTGAGCTCATATGGTGCTTGTCTTTCTCTGACTGGCTTATTTCACTTAGCATAATACTCTCCTGTTCATCCATGCTGATGCAAAAGGTAAGATTTCCTTCTTTTTTTGGCCGAGTGGTATTCCATTGTGTAAATGTTCCACGGCTTTTTCATCCACTCATTTACTGATGAACACTTAGGTTGCTTTCAAATCTTGGCTATTATAAACAATGCTGCAATGAACATAGGGGTGTGTATATTCTTTTGAATCCATGTTTTGGGTTTCTTGGATATATTCCCATGGAGCTGCCTTATGACCCAGTGATTCCACTTCTGGGAAAACCCATGTATTTTTAATGCAAATTTTCCCCCCTAATTTTCTATTTTATTTTTTAAAAGTGTGTATGTTTGTATGCTTTAGCATATATTAATTTGTAACATTGTAGCAGAACACATTACTCACTTGTTTGTGGTGATGTGGGTGGCATGTGCTAGCATGGGAGCCATGTCCTTTTGGAGCAGGGGCACAGGTTTCTCCTGGTTCCCCCATGCGGAGCTGTTTCTATTCCTGACCCCACATGAAAAGAACAGAAGACAGGTTTAGAATAAATGCAGATCCAGGGGAAGGCAAGGCATCATATGAAATGGGGTAATTTGGCTTGGGATCTGTTGAAGACCATTTCTAGAAATCTCTTATCAGACTGTCATGTACACTGTGAGCAGTTGATAAATAATGCATCGTGGGTGTTGAGGGGAGGTGAGGCCAGAGAGAACCAGGAAGAGCAGCAGTACAAGTGCTGTCATTTTCAAAGCCACCTAGTTCGTGGAGATCATGCTAATGTGTGTCTCATAGGCCAAAGAAGACATTAGTCAATGATGCATATATCCATGTAAGGAGACAAGGGTCCCAATATAATGCAGATTGTGTGTTCTTTTTGTTTGCAGTTACCGTTCTGGCAGAAAACAACTACATTAAGGACTTATTGAGGAAGCATGGGATAGACGTCCAGAGTATTGCTGACATTCACCCAATCCGAGTCCAACCAGGCCGGATCCTCAGTCACATATATGCCAAGCTTGGTAGGTTTGGGGAAATGGCGCATTTTTGGCCAGGAAGCATCTTGTTTCTAGGTTTTGAATCGGGGGAAGACTATGACATCTATAAATTCTAAAGAATTGGGGAAAGCATAAAGCAGGTGGTTTAACCGCTTCTATGCAGAGGAATGGCAAACAAGCACATTCTCCTCATTCCAGTTCAGTAAATGTCAGCACAGGTTGGCCATGTGATCTGCCAGATCTGTTGTACAATCTGCAGCCACTTTTGAAAATTCACAATTGGAACAGTCATTTGTGTCTTGATAATGTTTTAATTTTCATCTAAAATAAGAAGGGGTTCTCTTTACTTTTTCTAAAATCTGACTTTGTTTAATAAAAGTAAACATTAATAAAGACCTTTTAATAGTTTTATTCCATATAGGCGTTGAATCAAGTACTATTCATATACATGCATGAAATTCTTTGTCCCATTTAAAGAAATTTTAAATTCTTTGTCCCATTTAAAGATATTCAGGTGTTAGAAAAACCAAACTCCACAGTGGGTTGTTTGACATAAAAGTAAGTTCGGTCTTAGCCAAAGTCATTTGGATTAGATGTTACTGTATTTACTCTAACACAAAATTTCTTTTTGTTTTTCAACTAGGACGGAATAAGAATATGAAATTGAGTGGACGACCATATCGGCACATCGGCGTCCTTGGAACATCTAAACTATATGTGATTAGGAACCAAATATTTACTTTCACACCTCAGGTGAGAAGAGCAGGCCAGTAGTAAGCCAACAAGCATCTTTTCATTAAGCTCTTTTCTGGCTGGTGAGCCACTTTGATTGTGGCCGAATGTGCATGCATATGTTCAAATAGAGACATACAGGATGCCACCCATTACTCTAGTACAATTCTTTACTCATAGTAGGTGCTCAATTAATGTGGCTTGAATCGAATTGAGTTTGTCATCACTTCTAATCATGAGTAGTAGTGAAATTCATACCACTTTACAAATTTGTTAGTAATATGTCACTTGACTCATAGCCCTTGTGCCCCTAATCGCAAGAGTCCCTCACCCTTGCTTAAGTTGTCATTAGACCTTCTGTGTAACACAGAGCCAGTCTGATTTTCAGGCCCCAACCCCCTTGATGGGATCCCGAATATATTGATTATAGAACTTTCCTTCAGAGTTTCTGTTTCCAAAGGAAACTTGTCCTCTGGAACCCAAACCAAACATTTTCCATCCATTTGGGCAGCTAGGAACACCAACTGTGGTGCCACTTTGTCAACAGCCCTCCACTACCTAGGCACACAGTCAGTCAGGGGTGAGTAGCCCCACGTTGCTCTTTTTCACCCTAACCCACACTGCTCACATAAATCTTGTGAGTTATTTCCTTTCGTAACAAATTTCAGACCAGAGCATGTACTGAGCATGGACTAGTCCAGAGGCCAGAAGAACTATCTGATTTTCATCGACATCAGGCCACAGTGCCTTTAGTTCACATTAACCAGGCCATCAATCAGGTAAACAGTCTCCACATCTCAGCTGCTCTCAGTTCCCTCGCTTGGAAAGCATCCCAAGCCCAGCAGCCCTGGAGGAGTAGGGATTAAGGAGTTATTGATTTCCTTTCGGAGACAGTGGTGTTGGGCCTGGTGCTCATATCCTCGTCGGAGGAGTTGTAAATAGATCTAGCTGTGCACCTTTCCCTTCCATGGCTCCTGGGAAGGCGACAGGTCGATTTGTCTGATTGCGAGCAGAGCCCCATGATGGGCGGATTACAGCCAGGATTGAGCTGCTTCTCTGGGAACACAGCACAAGGATTAGTGCTGCCGTGAATGCCAGCTGGGGTCGTGTCCAGGGAAATGAAGGGCAGCCTCTCACTTGGCCTGTTCTGACTTGCAGTTCACTGACCAGCATCACTTCTACCTGGCCCTGGACAACGAGATGATCGTGGAGATGCTGAGGATCGAGCTGGCTTACCTGTGCACCTGCTGGCGGATGACGGGCAGACCCACGCTCACCTTCCCAATCACGCACACCATGCTCAGTAACTCCATGAACTTGATCTGCCTGATTCCCATCTCGCTATTGGTTTGGGCCCTTTTTACAATGTTTAAAATGGCTCCCATGGACAGAGCTAAGTATTGAAGGGGATTCTCAGCAGTTCAGTTTCTTAGCTCAGGAATCTTCCATGACATACGTATTTTAATTAGGTCTTGTTGATGGAAACATTTCAGTGCATGTCCCCTCCCCTCGCAAAAAAAGTATTCCCAGATTAAGTAGAGTAATTCATCTTTTTCTTTTTTCCCTTAGCAAATGATGGCTCAGACATTCATCCTGCAGTTCTTTCTACAATTAGGAAACTAGAGGATGGATATTTTGGAGGAGCTAGGTAATTTATGATTTAAAAAAAATTGAAGTAGTGTTGCGGAACCAGAGACGTT